AAGAAACTCTAAAGAAATCTGAGGGTTGTCTGGAAAAAGCCCAGCCATTATTAATATAACAAGCATGGTTTATGAAACATCAATGTAACCTGGCAGCCAAAGAGAGTGGACTGGAATGTGCACATGTGAACAATCACAACTTCCCTGTACTAGTCAGTGGTGGTGGCAGATGCCAATGAGTAAGCATGTATACTATGTGGCCATCGCATTCAAAATAACTGAGCAAGTTACAGCAATGAATCTGCCTCAAATTTTATGTTCGATTCCTCCAAGGAAACTACTTGGATGATTAAGAAAGCTGCAGCTACAGGCAACTGGTGATTGGCAGCTTCTTCATGACAATGCGCCTGCTTATATATGTCTTGTGCAGAGTGTTCTGGCAAAACATCAAATCACCCAGGTAACTCAGTCCTGCTACAGGCCAGATTTGGTGCTCTGACTTCAGACCATCGATGAGATTCAGGAAAATATAATAGAGCAGCTGATGGAGACTGGGAAAACTATGAGGTCCCCGCGTGCCTACTTTGAAGGGGACTGAGATGTCATTGTCCTATGTATAACATATCTTGTATCTTCTTCAATAAATGCCTCTATTTTTCATATTACATAGCTGGAAACTTTCTGCACAGACCTTGTTATGTTTAGAGTAAAATATTGGGCATAAAATTGAATCTTGGGCTATGTTCATTTTTGGGATGGGTAGAGAGGGAAACAAAAAGAGTATGATAAAGTTCACGATACACTAGGATTCAATTTTAAAATTTGATTTCTAATGTCATATGACAATTGCCTTCAGAAGTTTCTAAAGGCAACTAACTTCTTAGAGGCCAACTCAAAGTTTTCTCTCTACGGTTGCACATTTTTATTAAATTGAAATGCTTTGTATATTACATTAAAAATGCTGTCTTTAAACATCAGAATCATATTTAGCATGGTCTCATGCTCATACCATGAAAATTAATACTTGTAACACTTACTACATGCCAGCCTTAACATGTACTCACAGATTTAAGCCTCCTAACAACCCTGTGAGTTAAACACTAGTTATCAATGAGGAAATCGAGGAACAAATGACTCATTCAGACATATAAAGCTAGAAAATGACAGAATCAGAATTTAAACCTAAGGGCACTGCTTGCGAAGTCTCTGCTTAGCCACAAAGCGTTATAGCCTCCAGTATATGGAAGCAGAAATTCATGTTTAATCTCATATTCTCCAGGGCCTATGTCCCTTGAGTGGAATTGGAATACCCAGGTGAAGTACCCATATTCATCCATTCACTCATTCGACTAATAATTTTTTAAGCATCCAATGTGTGCTAGGCTTGGGGAAAACGGAAGAAAACAATACCGATAAAAAAAATCCTGGCCTTCAAGAATCTGACATTTTCATGGGACAGACAGGTTACCTTTTTAGAAAAAGCAAATGAAATATGTCATTATGTTAGAATGTAATGCATGTTACAGAGAAAAACAAGGCAGAGAAGTAGAGGTCTGAAAGGTGGGAAAGGAGGGCAAGGTTGCAAATGTAATTTAGGTGATCCTATCAACCAGCTGCAACACGTGGGCCATGTCTGGATATTGACCTGAAAAAACAACTGTAAAAAGTAATTTTGGCCCAGGCTGGTGTGGCTCAGTGGACTGAGCACCAGCCTCCGAACCAAAGGGTCGCTGGTTTCACTCCCAGTCAGGGCAGATGCCTGGGTTACAGGCCCTGTCCCCAGATAGGGGCACACGAAAGGCAGCCACACATTGATGTTTTTCCCTCCCTTTCTCCAAAAATAAGTAAAATCTTAAAGAAAAAGAAAAAGAAAAGAAAAAGAAATTTGGAGACCACTGGGACCATTTTAACATTATGGGATATTAAAAAATTACTATTTTTTAAAAACCACCTTTATTTATTTTTTAGAGAGGGGAAGGGAGGGAGAAAGAGGGAAAGAAATACCAATGTGTGAGAGAAACCTCTACCAGTTTCCTCTCACATGCCTCCAACTGGGGGCCTGGCCCTCGACCCCGGCATGTGTCTGGACAGGGAATCCTTTCAGTTCACAGGCCAGTGCTCAACCCATTAAGCCACTTCAGCCAGGGCAAGAATTACTAATTTTGCTAGAAATAATGTTAGTATGATTATGTGGTTATGTTCCCTTAAAATTTATGTGTATTTTTTGTTTTTTATTAAATTTATTGAGGTGGTATTGGTTAATAGGGTCACATGGGTTTCAAGTGTACATTACTATGTACATATGTGTATGTTTGGAAATTTTCAATATAAGGTGTTTGAAAAACTAGTAGGGTGGTCAAAGCAGGTCTGTGGTGGTAACAGTAGACTCACCTAAGGAAGTGAAGGAGTAAGCCAAGTGGATTAAGGGGGAAAACAACCCAGGCAAAGGGAACAGCAAGGCTGTGAAGCCAGTGAGGGGTGGGGAAAGAGTAGTAGGAGATTCAGGGCAGTAGTAGAGATGCAATGGAAGTGTAGTGCCTTGTAAATTATTCTGAAGACTCAGGCTTTAACTATGAGGGAAAGCCACTGGGAGGCTGCAGCAGCAAGGTGGTATGATCTAACTCACATTTTTTGTAAGTCTCACTTTCACTACTTTATTAAAAACAGATGGGGGTGGGAGTGGGGAGAAAATACAGACCACTGCAATTGAACAACAATAAAATAATTAAAAATAAAAATAAAAACAGACTGAAGGGGAAGGAGTGTGAGAGAAGCAGTTAAGAGGTTACTGCTCTTACATGGATAAGAGATGATGGTGGCTTGGAAAAAAAAAAAGAGTGTTAACAGTAGAGATAACAGTCTATAGATATATTTTCAAGACAGATCTGAAGTAACTGTTTACAGATTAGATATAGGTGCGGAATAAAAAGAGACTAGCACGCACCCAACCTTATGGCCTCAGCAACTGGGAAAATGATGTTACCACTGAATGAGATGGAGATACAGAAGGTACAGTTTGTTTGTTTGTTTTTTGGGGGGGGGGCGGTGTGTGAAGGGAAATGGGGAAATCAAGACTTTAGTTTTAGAAAGGTCAAGTTAGACACATTGATGATGATGTCAAATAGGCTTCTTTATGAGTGTGGAATTAGAAGGGAAGTATGAGCTAGATTTCTGTATCTGTAAATTAGTAGTATACAAGTAGTTTTAAAGCATCAAGAGTGAAAAGGATTACCATGAGAATGTGGAGAGAAAAGACAAGAGGCCTAAGATCTAACTGTGGGGCACTCCTATATTAAGGAGTCAAGAGATGGGAAATCAGCAAACCTTAGGAGACTGAGAAAGTATTAGTGCAGTTACAGGAAAATCAGGAGGGCATAGTGTCCTGAAAAACAAGTAAAGAGTGTTTCAAGCAGGTGGCAGTCACTCTCTGTCAAATGCCGATGAGAGACCACAAGCAAATAACCACTGAACCACTGAAATTTGTTACATGGAAGTGACAGGTGACACTGATAGGTAATTTACGTAAAATGGTGAGGTTAAAATAAGGTGTGACAGAAGTGAGTTTAAGTGAAAGTAGGAGAACAAAAATTATGGTGAGCAATTACAGACAACTCATACTATAAAACTATTTTTCTTGTTCCTTTGGCCCAGTTTTGTATGGTTAAATTTCATGTCAAATTAAAAAGAAAAAAAATATGTATGACAAGAGGACTCCACTACAGTCAAAGGTAAAGAAAGCCAATATGATTTCACAGAAGTAAAGGAAAAATACCTTGCCTGGTGTGGCTCAGTGGATTGAGTGCAGGCCTGCAAACCAAAGGGTTGCCAGTTCGATTCCCAGTCAGGGCACATGCATGAGTTACAGGCCAGGTCCCCAGTACGGGGCACGTGAGAGATAACCACACACTGATATTTCTCTCCCTTTCTCCTTCCCTTCCCACTCTCTAAAAATAAATAAATAAAATATTTAAAAAATATATAATAAAATATATTAAATATCAACTACATCTTACCCATTAAAAATGCTATCACAAAAACAGAAAATAACAATTATTGGTGAGGATACAGAAAAATTAGAACCCTTAAACACTGCTGGTGGGAATGTAAAATGGTATAGTCACTGTGGAAAACAGTATGGTGATTCCTCAAAATATTAAAAATACAACTGTTGTATGGTCCAGCAATTCCACTTCTAGAATTTTCAATTCTACCCAAAAGAACAGAAAGCACAGTGTCAAAGAGATACAAACACCAGTGTTCATAGGAGAATTATTTGTAACAGCTAAAATGTGAAGCAACTCAAGTGTTCATTGAAAGATGAACAGACAATCCAAATGTAGTATATACATACAATGCAATATCACTGAGACTTAAAAAGGAAATTCTGACACATGAGAAACATGAATAAACCTTGAGGATATCATAGTGAAACAACATGGTCACAGTAAGTCAAACACTGTATGATTCCACTTGTATGAAGTATGGAGAGTAGTGAAAAATCAGAGACAGAAGGTAGAATGGTGGTTACTAGGGGCTGTAGGAAAAGAGAAGAAAATGAAGAGTTCTAGTTTAATGGGTACCAAACTGCAGTTTTAAAAGATGAAGAGAGTTCTGGAGATGGATGGTGGTGATGGAAGCGATTATGAATACATTTAAAACCATTAAGCACTGTACATTTAAAAACGGTTAAGAATAGTAAAATGTGTTTTTATGTGTACTTTACCACAATAAGAAAAAAATTAGAAAAAAATAAAAAATAATGAGCAGATGAGAGTACACTGCTTAAGGCTGAATACTCTAGCAGCTATCATCATGAAAGAGTTACTCTGTCAGGGTCTTACAAAAGTTAACAAGCAGTGTGGGTTTCAAAAGAAACTCTATATGGAGATAAGAAAAAGAACACATAATGGGACAAAAAAATTAAACCCCAAAAAAAGTTTTATTCCTGGCTCAGTGATAAGTAACCCTCATTGAATATTTCATCTTTCTCCTTTCCCACGAAAAGGGGCTGAGAGAATAACAGACATCTGTGCTTTACAGTGCAGACCAACATGTCATACCTGATGTCCACTCTAAGTTTAGGGTAATACTGAGACACATATTTTCTGATGAGGCTGTAGGAAGCTTCTTTAGGTTCACAAAGGCGAGTGAAGGCCAGTGGGAGGATATCCTCCAATTTTACTTGTGGTTCTGGATCCACTGCCGAGCTCCTGTTCTGAAATGTAGTATCAAAATTATCATTAGAAAATAAATAGCTTCTCTGGTCAAATGTTTCTGTATTCAACTCAAAGGCTTTTCTAAGTTGGTTGTCAAATCAACCAACCAACCAACCAACCAATACAAAACTATCACTTCACATTCAAACAAACCATATCATGGTGGTGGAATGTTAGTTGCATGGTAATTTAAGATAAAAAATTTCAGACTGAGTTAAATAAAAAGGAATAATAAGACTTTAAGGTCTTAAATCATTTTTAGCCTTCAATACAAAAAATGAAAAGGATCATGGAGTACTCAAAAATAGTGTACAAAAATTCACTTTGAAAGTACTGGCCAGTTTTATGGGGGAAAAAAAGAAAAATCTTCAGAGTTGTTAAAACAAAGATGTGAGAAGTATTCATGATTTCAAGTACTGACATAGAAGAAATATTCGATGTTTCACTTTATTATCATATATTTTCCATAAATGAAATTATTTATCTTGGGGAGGACACTTAGTATTTATTAAAAAAGAGAAGAAAAACTGGTTCTGGATATAGTTTTGGGGTATAATACTGAATGAGAACAGGCCAATTTGCCTCTCCTAGTTTAATGAGCAAATTACTTGTCATCTCTCTAGGACTTAGTAGAAAGGCCAGTTTGACACAGTGCCTGGCACAAAGCTGCTATTTTGAATAAGTAGGAAGAGTATCCCAGCAAACCATCAGACTGTGGAACAGACTTCTTACCTTTCTGTTTCTGGATTTCTGAGGGGCTTTTCTGGATTTCTGGACCACAACAAAACTCCCAGAAGCACCTTTCCCTTTTACCTAAAGTAAATTAATTTTAGTTACAATAACCAGTATTTTTATTTTAAATTATTCTGGTATTCATATTTATAACTTTATCCCAGATTAAGCAAATTACAGGGCATAGTGATACAAGAACTACTGTAAAATGCTGCTCGACTTGTCAGAGGAAAAAAAACAAAATAAAAAAACCCCAATGGATTAGTCAAAAGACTTAGGAGTGAATCCTATGCATGGTACCATCTAGCTATTCAGTAATGGACAACCCTGTAAATCTCTGAGCTTTTGGTTCTTCGTCTACAAAACTGGGTAAGAATGCTGAAACCAGATTAAACAGTCTACTATAAACTTTCAAAAAATAAAAATATAAGTCTCATGGAAGGAAGGCACACAATCTCTTGAGGAAAATGGAAAAAAACACAAAATTCTATCTTGAAAGGAAGATAGCTAACTGGCAAAGTTTGCAGCCTAGTTGATCTCGGGCCATAATGCTTCCCACAATTCGCCCATTAGAGATTATTCCTGCATACGGGAAAGGTTATGTAAGTCACACCACATATTTCCACAGTTTACAAAGCACTTTCAGACTTTGAAAGTTGATTTACATTAACCCGAGTCCCCCATACTTTAGCTTTACCTACCCTGCTATGAATATAGCAGTCCAGCTAAAATACTTCTAGCCTATAAAATGTGTAAGCATCAAATGGAGGGTGAGGCTATGAGGCAAGAATAGGTCACGAACCATATTTTCATAAAGAAAAACATAAAGTCAGCTCATAAATTGTGCTAACATACATTATGATATAGGACAGGCATTTGTTTTAATTATATTGGTTAGATAGTCTCTTTTAATTGATGATTATTTTAAAGGCCACTAAAATATTGGTTTTACAACATTCGGAAAAAGCTGCTGCAGGATGTAAGCTCCACACAGCAAGAATCTGTTTTCCTCACTGACTGACACCCGAGCACCTGGAACAAGGAGACACTCAATATACACTTGTGCAATTAAGTACTTGCTGAAAGGTTCTAAACAGAGTTTAAATGCCCGAAAGGAACAGTTTCCCACATTAACCAAACTATGCAGAGAGGTATGGAAGAAAGGCAAGAGGACTGTGGGAATGCAGTGAACTGGGTCCTTAGAACCATCTTCATCTCTCCCGTGGGACCTTGGTAGTTACTTTAGACCTCTGAACCTCTGAAGAGGTTTAGATAAGATAAAGTCCATTTTGGCTTTAGATTTTCATGATTCTAAGCAATATTGTGATGTACTATGTGAAGAAACACACATTTATGCCTGAAATCAATTCTGGTTTTAGTACTAGTCTCAGGTTACTCAGGCTTCTCTCATGCTCCTAACAAACTTGAATAGTTTTAGATATCATTAAGTAAAGATGAACCTATTTACAAAGCTCATTTATAAGGGCAACAAGTCTAGTCACGAAGCAAGGCTTTAAAATCTAAGACAAACGCAATGACCATTTCTGCTATTGCGATGACAGGACCCCTCAACCCCACACCTCCTCCTCAGCACTTTATGATCTCAAGCACAAGGAACCCCCAAAGAAAATCCAATTACATATACAAGCAGTTAGAAAATAATTGCACTATCTACCCTATTGTTATAAAAGGTAACTGGCAGTGATTCTGAAACTGAGTCTCAGATAATAAAACTAGGTTAAGCTTAAGCACTTCATTATGTTATCTTATTTTTAACAAAAATGTCACAAAAAGCCTAAATGTTACTAAATATAGACTTATACGTTGGAATGATCTTATTACCAACAACTATTTAATACCTGTTTGATGACACCTCTATTTAATTCTCTTTTCAGTGCTTGTTTAAGAAGGTAGCCCCTTCTCTCCAGCTCCAGAGAAGGGTACTTATGAATAATGTATTTTCGAATAGCAACAACTGATGCACCACTCTTCTGGAAGCATGCCTAGAAAACAGATTTACCAAACCATACACATTACTTTAAAGTAGCTGTTTTTTTCTCATTAGACAGCAAAGCTGACATACGTTTTTAAAATCAATTATTTTAGAAGTGAATTTAATAATGGACAATGCAGAAGAGAATAAACAGTATTTCAGTTCAGTTCATCATGGCTGTGGAGAAATGATTAAAATATTTCTGCAACAATTACTTTAAAATTGTTCAAAACACCAAAGAGAAGATACAACACATGAATAACATTCTGTGTGTTAAGGAACCTCTTTCCATTTTAATTCGGTTCTGTATTTAGAAGACAGATCTTTAGCTTTAAAATGAGGAAAGCAGAATGCTGGATCACAGACTGGGCCCATATTTCGGAGCAAGCTCTGGCATACCAGGGCCAGTGTTTCCCCCTGCAGGCTCTGTGTGCACGTCAACAGAGAACATAAGCAAAGACACTGAATAGATGCCATAAAGCTGGATACAGAGAGCATAGTCTTTTTTTTATCTTTATTATTTTAATTTTTGTTCAAGCACAGTTTTCTCTTTTACTCCCATCGCAGCCCACTCCCCTAGCCCTCTCCACCTCCCTCCCATTTTTGTCCATGTGTCCTTTATACTTGTTCCTATAAACCCTTCCCCCTTTCCCCCAATATTCCCTCCCCCCTGGCCACCAGGGAGCAGTCTTAAGGGGAGTTTTGGATAACAACGGAGCATTAAATTGCAAGGTGAAGTGCCCTCTTTTGTTTCCATTCTATCTATATTCCATTTGACTAGCGCCCATGGAAGACTTAAGCAGGTCATTATGTCACAACGGTAGCAAATTCTTTCAAATGCTTTACATTTCGAAGCACACAAACAGCATTTGTTACTTATCTCATGGGCCAGACCACGAATTTTATGTTGCCACTGTCTATAAAAATGAATGTAGTACAAACTCATTTACATTAAACAAAGATTTCATTGAGTGTTATTTTATACACTTTGATAATAACAAAAAAGAACTCACAGATAGATGGACCGGAAAAGATTTTACAACAAAAAACAAGTTGTGTTAATATGGGTCCACTTACTTCAAGTAAATGTCTCTGACCTATTACAAACTACTGCTTATTCCTGGTCTTAGTTTTTTAAAAAAACATAAAAGAAAACAGGCAAAAAAAGAACTCTGTAATGCTAAAATGAGATGGAAGTAGACATTAAGACTCTCGTTTGATTCAGAAAATTCTATCAGTGGTCTGAAATCATGATTTGTTACACTGCTTAGAATACACACACACACACACACACACACACACACACACACACACTCATATTCAAACTACTCTTTAAGCCTGATTATATACTGTTTTAAATTTCTGCTTCACTATTTTAAAATTTCAGTCCCTTCTCTATCCTCACTGTTACCCTACTTTTTGAAGGAAGACAACAAAGAAAAGAGAGCTTACTATAGTCAAGCTATGTAGAACAAGGAAGTTCTCTTAATGAGCTGAGAGCACTCTTGGAGAGTGCAGGGAGAGTCTGAGGGCAAACCCTTGTCCAGTCTGTGTCAGTGCTATTTTCTCAGATTCTGAGGATGACCACCAGGTTGCTCCTTCCTTTAGACACCACCCTTGGTTAAATTGATCTGTGTATCTCTCCCCAATTCTTCTTCAGATCTAAGGACAGGGTCTCTGAAATGAGGGGGTCTATGGCTTCTATTTTAACTCCTTTTACCACCTGATCACATGAAATAAACAAGGCAAAATTAACCAGATCAATTTACACAAAACCCAGCAAGGTCAGGTTGGAGATAACCTTAAATTAAAATTAAAAAACTACCCTTGATTGTGTAAAGCTAATGAAAGTCAATGGATTATAGCAAAGTCACAAAGCTATGCAAGGAGGATAATTTTGCAAGTATTTTGGAATGGCTAGGTAATGAAGCAAAGTAGCAAGAGAATTTTTTATAACTCAGGTTTGAAAGATAACTTTTAACAATTATTACTCAACTTTAAAAATGGACCTAAGGATTGTAAATTTTTTAAAAATAAAAATTCTCAATGTTACTCACTTACCCTGAGGCACAATTAGATTTCCGAAGGGCAAGGGCCTTGTTTTGTCTTTTTCTAGGCTACATCACTAGTAGAGCTGCCTGACACAGCAGTTAGTCCTTAAATATTTGTCAATGAATTAACATTGAGTATAGTTTTTAGTTTTAAATATTTGTCAACTATACAAATATTTAATAGTTTAGATATTAAACTATTATATTCAATAAAAACTATACTCAACCAGTAAACTGTGTACAGAAATCTAAAGACAAGTTAAAAATACTTGCTATAGTAAATATAAATAAAAAAATTAACAGTGCTCATCAAACATAATTATATTATTAAAACATAAACTTCACAATGGCCTTTTTCTATTTAAAACTCTTTTAGGAAGCAGAGCAAGATTTCCAGCATCTGACAGGAGTATGCCATTTTCAAATAAGCAAAAGATGAACAGAGTAAATCTAAGATGAACTGCTTGAAATAAAAACTTGCCTTAATGGCCTCAGTTAGGATCGCATCCATCTTGGGACGTGGGGAGGAAGCCATCGGTGTCTGTTTCTGGGCCCTCGCAAGCTGGCTGGCAGAAAGAGTAGCCCAGGAAGGTATTGTTTTTTTCACTTTCTTCTCCTTTTCTTTAGGCTGCTCTTTCTCTCTTTAAAACAAAGAATTGTTACTGTGCAAGATAAACTCTCCAGAAAGAGCCATAAAGTTAGAAAGAGGAAAAGACCAGGGAGAAATGAAAATTAATGTTTTAGCTTACTTGCACATTAAATTGACAAATGGAATAAGTAAAATTTTAAACAATTTAAACTAAACAAAACAAATTTTAAAAAACATGGTACTATAAATAAACCAAAAAGGTGTTTTCTCTTAGGTACAGGAGAGAAGAGTCCTATAAATTAGTGCTGGTATAAACAGCCAGCACATGTAAAAAACCAGAATTTTTAAATGCATTCCAACAAAACAGTTGCAATTTAGTACACTGGAAAGGATCAAGCTCTGAAATCAGATAACTTCAGTTTGAGTTTTTTAACCCCAACATATAGCTACATGATCCTAGCAAGTGACCTGAGTCTCAGCCTCCTCAGCTATAAAATTGTAATATAATACCAAACACTTCACAAGGCTGTTAAAAGAATTATGAAGTTATGTTTATAAAACAATACTGTGAGACATAAAGCATTACACAAATTATTCTATGTAATAACAGCACTACATGAACCGAAAACACAGGGAAGCTGTTAAAACTTCAAGACTTTACATGTATCTACAAAACTGGGATAAAGGATTCCCTGAGGATTATGGCCAGAAGGTACAGTTATTACTAAGTTATTCTTTTATTTAAAAAGTAATTCCTAATTGTTCTGACCAATTATGAAGAGAATAAAATAAATGCTACCAGCTGTCTTGCAAAAAAATTTAGTTAAAAAAGAATTTCCACTACACTGTACAGATTATCAACAGCAAACTTTGTTTTCAGATTTTTTTAAAAATTTATTTATTAGCCCTGGCTGGCATAGCTCAGTGGATTGATCGCAGGCTGCGAATCCAAGTATCACAGGTTTGATTCCCAGTCAGGGCACATGCCTGGGTTGCAGGCCATGATCCCCAGCAACCGCACATTGATCTCTCTCTCTCTCTCTCTCTCTCTCTCTCTCTCTCTCTCTCTCTCTCTTTCTCTCTCTATCTCCCTCCCTTCCCTCTCTAAAAGTAAATAAATAAAATCTTTTTTTTAAATTATTTATTTATTTTTAGACAGAAGGTGAGGGAGGGAGAAAGAGAGAGAGAGAAACATCAATGTGTGGTTGCCTCTCACACTCCCCTTACTGGGGACCTGCCCTGCAACCTAGGCATGTGCCCTGACTGGGAATCGAACCAGCAACCCTTTTACAGGCCAGTGCTCAATCCACTGAGCCACACCAGCCAGGGCTGTTTTCAGATTCTCAAAGTCACCCTCCAATTGAATACGTCATCAAACATACACAGAGTTTTAGGTCATTCCAGCAATGGTTTGATATACAGGGTCTGGCACAAATAAATAATTTTTAAATTATAAACTCTTATTACAAAATCATAAGCATGTAACTCTTTAACATTAACAACATCACACTCAAAGCACACCATATAACATTTTAGGTGAAATGTTTAAATTAAAACTATAAATTATTACACCCATATTATTATCCTCTACCAATTACACTCAAGCAGGCCTTACTTCTGCCGGACCCTGTAGATTAACGTTTTCTAATATAAGCATATAAAAATAACCCGCTCCTGGCACAGAGGGAAGAGTACAATGATTAAGTGTCTCCCAGGTCAGATTTGTATACTCATGTTTCATTTCTGATTGAAATTATGTCAATGCTCTGCTCTGGCTGAGTAAGCGCAACTGGTTAGAGCATTGTCCAGTAACCTAAGGCTGTGGCTTTGATCTCCAGTAAAGGCACATAGAAGAATCAACCAATGAATGCATCAATAAGTGAAACAACAAACTGATGTATTCTCTCTCTCTAAAATTAATAAATTAAAAAGTTTTTAAAAATTATTCCATTGCTTAAAATATCAGACACTCCTATAATGAATTCTAAGCACAAAAACATACTCTAAAGCCAAATGGAATGAATTTTGGATTATTCAAAATCCAAAATTCACTCTTCTGTAAAGTACTGCACAGTCTAATAGGCCATACAACTACATAATAAACCTATTTCAAATGGTAATTCTAAAAAGTAAAACCAAACAGCAAATACCTAGCATAAACCAATGTTGTAACACTTTAAAACCATCTTGTCTACAGTCCTTTTACACAGTCTTTAATTATGTATAGCAAGAAGATGTAACTCCTTACTCCTTTTTGGTTTCCTCAGAGGACTTCTTTTCTTCCTTTTCTTCATTCTCAGGTTCTGCCTTCGGCTGTTCTGTCTCACTAGATGTTGCAGGTGGAGTTTCATTTTCTTGTTCTTCTACAGTGGAGACCGATTCCTCTGAACTTATATCTGGTTCTAAAAAATCAGGTGAGGAGAATTGCACCAAGTAGATATATTAGACCCTGAGTCAATAAAAGGGCAAAAATATATCTTATTAAACAGGTAAGTTGAATGTTCCAATTAACAAATGGATTCTAAATTGATCAAATGACTATGAGTGCAGTTTTCTTTCCTCATTTATGTCACTCAAGTTACTTATGCAAGAGGGTGTTTATGCCGACAATTACGTGAGAAAAGGATACAGACCAAGAAATTACACAGAGAGGGAAAATCTTTTCACCCCAAATCAAGTATCTTGATCATTCTACTCTGCAATATTAATGAGACTTATAATTACGAAACAAGCCATTTCATAATTTAAAAGACAAACCCTAGGAAGGGATAAGTAACAGAAAACTACCGTGTGTTTTCCAAGTGGAATGACTGAGGCAAGGGTAGAAACCTGAGAGGAGATGCCGAGGTCTGCAGCTGCTTATCTCTCTGAGCAGCTACTATAAAACACAGAACCCCAGGACATGGTTAAGCAGGGGCTTCAAACAAAATAATTCCAGCAGAAAAAACTAGGCAAAAAATAAAAATATATTTCAAGAGTTTGGTCACTTAAATTATGTGGATTACTGGCATAATGATGAAGACCTCTTTGTGGACTTCAACATAAATAATTAAAAAATGCCACTTCCTTCTTAGAACCAGACCATACATATACAATTCTAAAGAAATTTCTAGCTTTTCAACAAACTAAATGTCTGAATCATAAATTTCAGGCCAGTAAACTATCATTTGTAAATGTCATCCTGGATCATGCTCTTCAACCAGACTTACATGTAAATAGAAACTCCTCCCTTATGTTTCGCCAAAATTGAGGTTTTTTGAGTCAGAAACATCTGGATTCTAATTCAGTGTTTATAATTTTCCAGCTTGGTATCTTAGGGCAAATTCTCTGACATCTCCAAGTTTCAGTAACCCTACTTCACAGTTATTATTAGGATCATATAAAATGTTTTACCCTGGCTGGTGTGGCCTGCAAACCAAAGGGTTGCTGGTTCTATTCCCAGTCAGGGCAAAACCCTGGCCTGGGTTGCAGGCCAGGTCTGGGGTGTGGTGTGGTGTGTGGGGTGTGTGTGTGTTTGTCTCAACCACACACTGATGTTTCTCTCCTTCCTTTCTTCTCTAAAAATAATAAAATCTTTAAAAAATAAAAATGCTTTAGGGGAAGACTATAGGCCAGCACTTGTACTATACTACGTAGGTGATTCCCATCCTCCTTTGGCCTCCCTCTGTTTCTAATACTGTTTCACAAAGTATTAGGGCTAGAGCTTCATTATAATAATGATATCTGGCAATACAGATAACTGCAAGATGTATTTTTTATCATGATTATCTAATAAAGGTTCAGTCATTCAACAGATAATGAGCATGTTATGTATAAGACATTACTTCCAACCCATTAAACTATTGCCTGCCTCTGTTTGAAATGCAGGGCTTATAAAATTCAGAATGTAAGTGAAGTCTAATTATTTTCACGTACAAAATACCCTAGTGGGGTAAAGAGAAGATTAAACAAACATACATGTGAAGTGACTTACTGGTCCTTTATAAATTCTTGGTTGACCTCTCTAATACCTTACATCCGAACCCTCCAGCACGCGTTCTGAAAACTGATGCTACTATTAATTTAGTGGTTTTGGCTTGCTATTAAACATGAATCAAGATGTGCCACTAAGCGGCTTATCTCAGTGCTGAACAAAATAACCAGTCTTCAACTCACTGGCACCTACTATTTTTTAACATGCTGGTTCCCATGTCACCTAATGCCTTAGGCCAGGATACACAAATTGCTTATAATATTTATCTGAGGATTTGAGACAAAATCCTGGCTCAGCTTGAAAAGATTATAACCCTGGTGAACCAAGGAATAAAGGCAACAAGGGTGCACATATACTATATATCTATATAATTTTTTAAAAAGATTTTATTTACTTACTTTTAGAAAGAGAGAAAGAGAAGGAAAAAGAGAGGAAGAGAAACATCAGTGTGTGGTGTACCCCCTTCTGAGGACCTGGCCTGCAACCCAGGCATGTGCCCTGACTGGGAATCAGACTTGTGACTCTTTGGTTCACAGGCCTGTGCTCAATCCACTGAGCTACACCAGGCAGGCTAGGGTGCATATATTTTTAATATGTAATCTACGCCGGTCAGCAAATACTTGGTTCTAACAGCCATGACAGGGACAGTACCATGTGTTCCTCCTGGAAAACCTGAGATAAAGTGCAAGAAAGCAGAAAAGGAAAATAAGAAGAAAGAGGTTATAAGAAAAAAGAAAAGCAAGGAAAAGGAGAGGTGATTAGAAATGCCATAAAGGAATGAATAGGTTGATGGTGATACATTTTTCGCAATCCATTACGTTCCCACCTCCGTGTGGCCAACCTTCTCTTCACCAACACCAAAGTTCTAAACCAATGTTTTGATCACCCATTTGCTTCCTTAAGGCCTCCTGATGATTTCTGGTGGGTTTTCCACTCTCCATTTTGAAGGCCTAAGTCCTCCATTCTTCCAGTCTTCATCTTCGTGACACTGTATGCCCAGAAGCTACTCTTCGACTGTTCCTGTTCTCTCCAAATTTTTTTTCTGTTTTTAATTCCAAAAACATGAGATTTTCACCTTCCAAAAATCTTTAAAGACAGGATAAAACCCTTATTTTGCCTACACGGTCTAGAAATGACATACCGACAGGTACCACTTCTCTCTTTAAATGTTCTCCCAAAACACCTAGCTATGAAAAAAAATTAAGGTTAAGAGAATTTATGGTACACTCCAAATGGAAATAAAAGCTTTCACCTTTTGAAGTTGTTCACTGCTATACTTTACCTGGCTTTCCTTCCTCCCCTTCAGCAAGCTTGCTTTTGGGAGGAGTTTCTCGGGTAGAATTTACAGTTCGACGAATCGGCATGGTGCTATCTTCTACCTTCTAAGAAAAGAGATGGCCATAGTCACACATGCATTAGAAAATTCTCTTTTCTCTCTTTCCCAAGGGGCCTAACTGGGTGTCAGAAGATGGTGAATTCTAAGTCTACTCCAGGATCTGATGCACATTAACAGGTTTTTTGAAGTGAAATATGATTTTTAGGAAGTACTTTTCAAAATACTTCTTTTAGCAAGAATTTAAAATGGAAACAAATAATTATACTTGATTTAGAATAAATATAGAAGGTTGGAGGTTTTCTGAGAAATCTGAGGGGAAAAGGGAGATGAAAAGAACCCTGTATATTTTATTTTTTCAGATTCACAATCCAGACTCCCCAAAGTACGGGAAGGAACATGTACCAAGAAGGACCCAGAAGAGCCTGAAGTCAGGGACTGATCCAAGAGTGAGCTTCAAGAATATGTCAGCCCCTACCTCACCTAACTTGTCCGCGTGGATCAGCTGAGCTCCTACTATAAGTGGGAGTGCCTTAGGATGGACGAGTTCACCTTGAGACATATCAGTCGCCATTTAAAATAATTTCTAGGCCCGAGTACAGGTTACACTCTGAAGCCTCTGCTGTTAACCACAAGGATTTTTCCTAATGGTTTCAGTGTGGTGAAAAGTCAACCTAAAGCACAGAAAAAATCTGGTGTGAAGATTAACAGAAACAAAACTAAACTAAAACATCTAAATTTTAACATACATGCAAAGGGAACAAAAAAGTATAATTACTTATAGTTAAGTGACATATGACTTGGTCAGTTATCATTCAGAAATATAAAATCTCTATCAAAATACAGACTGTGTAAAGCAGCGACTAACGAATGCACAAGCCACAGCAGCTGTTGCACCTTCCACAAGAACGAAGGCAACAAGCGCAAGAAAGCTCGTAAGGAACCAAGCGCCACCCCATCCCGCTACCATCAGGAATTAGGACAGAATGAGATTAAGGAACAATTTATTCAAATTTTACTCAAAGATCAATTAACTAAAAACAAAACAAAACAAACAAGCAAACAAAAACCTACGGAAGAACATAACACACTAAAAGTCTACAGACTCAGAGAAGTAAATTTAATACCAGGGGTGTCCAACTTGCAGCCTGCAGGCTGCATACAGCCCAGGATGGTTATGAATGCGGCCTGACACAAAATTGTAAGTTTACTGAAAATCTTTTTTTTTTTTTTTGCTCATCAGTTTTCATTAGTGTTTGTGTATTTCATGTTGTGGCCCAAGATACCTCTTCTTCTTCCAGTGCAACCCAGAGACTCCAAAAGGTTGGACACCCCTGATTCTGAACATCACTGAGGAAAACAGAAGTCTGCTTCTAAAACCCCACTCATCATATTTTTAATGTAAGCAAAACTTTAATGTAAGCACAGAACATAACTAAATATTCAAAAGTAAAACCCATGTCACTCAAATTTATCTGATCATTAACACCCTTTGTCCCCACCAAAATCTCATCTGGGACTCAATGACACTTTATAATCCCTCCACAATATAAGAAAAAGATCCGTTAGCGTTTAGATCTCTGTGCCAATGAACAATTAACAGAGCTGGTAGACTTTCAGTTCCAACCTTGTCTAGGAATTTAAGACCTTTCAACTCGTCAACTAACAGTCCCAAGCTAAAACAACTGGGACAAATCCAAAACATCCAAATATAGCCCTGACTGGTGTGGCTCAGTAGGCTGGGCACTGTACCACACACTGAAAGGTCGCCAGTTCAATTCCTGGTCAGTGCACAGGCCTGGGTTGGAGGCCAGGTCCCCAGTTGGGGGCATGTGAGAGGCAACCAATGGATGTTTCTCTCCACACCTGCTGTTTCTTTCCCTCTTTCTCCCTCCCTTCCCCTGTCTCTAAAAATTAAATAAATAAATAAGTAAATAAGTAAGTAAATAAATAAATAAATAAATTTAAATACAACAAACATCCAAACAGACAGAATGTTTCCACAGCTACAGGGAAAATCTTTTTATTGGAACACCAAGAGCAATACCAGATTTGTGAATTGACAGTCAGCTGCTAGGAAAGGAGCTGAGAGAACTCAAGATAGTATAGTACACTAAAACTTATTATCAAGAATAAATTAGGAATATCCATGAATATCTAAAAATTATCAATTGTTATAAAACTATTAAAATGCTCATACAGCAATTCACTTCAAACTCTATAAAATACAGGAATAAAGACAGTTGTTTTCTGATTTGTGAAAAGAGAGCCAAGTTGGGTTTAAGGGCATTATTTAGGTTTGTGAAACTTCAAAGTCTATCTTGGAATCATTTCAGTATATGGATCTGCTCATTCACTCATCTACTAGCACTTGGACAGTAATATGCTTTCTTTGATAACAATTATAAAAAGCTAGGCAAATCTGCTATTTTATTATGTGAACATTATACAGAAATAAAACATCACAATCAGGTTACTTTGGTAAAGTGATATTGCTAATGAATTCATCTTTCTTAACCCATGATATCACACTAGTTAGGACGAAAATGCTACAGTGAAATCAACAAAACCTTCAGGAGTCTCTACTCATAGGCTATCTTTAAAAAAATGTATTTTCCCAGTAAACAATATACTGAAAAAAGTGTCAAAACCTTTCCAGTCAACTCTGTGCTAATTACTAAAAATTAAAACAGGTTAACAAAGGGAGGGAGCACAGAAAGCTGCCCTTGATGCCCAAGTGATAAAACTGACTAAAATCTGGGCAATAACAGGTACACAGTCCATAAACGCATCAGACATCAGCCTCGGAACAAGAATGATGGCTTAAATTAGACCACATAAGAAGTATGCCCAGGTTGGAATAACCTCAGAAATAAGCAGAGGGAAGAATAAGTTGGTTTGCCCACCTGCTACCTCCAAGATCCTGACATTCTTCTGCTTAAAACCTCCCAATTACTACCCCTTCCTTTATTTCACCAATCTTACCTCCTACTGCTCTACAGATCACTCTGCTCTCTTGAGCCCCCAAACACAGACCTCCTTCTGGCCCTTGGGCTGTCCTCTGCTCATCCCTGTGTCAGTGTTTGCACTTGCTGTTCTCTTCAACCAGAAGAACACTCTTTTTGCATAGATACTTCAATCAGGTTTCTGCTCAATGCTACCCCGATCAGAAAAGCCTCCCATCCCTCTTATTCTTCAGGTTTATTGCATTTAACACCACATAAAAGTTAGTATGTGTCTGTTTACTTGTTTAGTATGTGTCTCTCCCACTGTATTCCCAGCACCTAGAAGTGTCCAAACATAGTGGGTGCTGGATAAATACTGGGGAAAAAAGTTAAATGAACAATGACATCTGACAGTATTTAGTACTATATTCAGTATGTGAAGAATACTTAAAAAAGTAATATTAAGACATGTTTGCCTCAGCTCTGACTTTCCTTTGTAAAGGTCATGGAATTTAAAGGTTTGATCTATAGTACTTTCTTTGTCGTAAGTTGGTTAATGACTTATTTAGTAAATTCATTGTTCTTTAGAGAGCTAGCGAAACTACATGAATGGTTAATTCACTCTGCCCTAACATCACCATGTACCTATTAATTTAACTTTTGTTGCTACACGGGAGCCTGATCAGACTTTTAGGCTGACATACTTGTTCCTTTTGGGAGATCTTATCTAGCTGGTTCACTGCTGCATACTTGGTGCCTAAGAACATCAGCCATAGAATGTGTTGAAAAATATTTGTTAAATGAAAAAAATAGATGAAACTTACTAAAGTTTTCACTTGGGGTCCTCTATGTGTCAAAAACAATCTGAGTTTATCTGTGGTTTATGTGGCCCTCCTGTGGTGATCAATCTGATCTTTTAAAATTTAATGTTAGATTAGTAATAGAAAGATTTGCTTTTGTCAAGGGAAATGCAAACTGTTTTAATACACAGGTAATAAAGAAAAATTGTAAAAGTAAAAAGTCCAGAATTTCAGAGTTTTAGATTACTCTCTCCACATTAGGAGAAAGCAATAGAGAAATAATTAGGAGCTTCATATATTTCAGTTTATTGATACCTTTGAAAACACTCATGTTAGGGAAAGTACTATTACTTCATACTTGACCACAAAAAGTATGCGGTACATTATAATGTCACCAGCTACGCAATGAATACATCAAGTTGCTGCTAATCTCAAATCTTTCACGATATTCAGACTTATTGGGCAATGTCAGAGAAAGCATGCCTGTAATTTGACTGCTGGCAACTTTTTCCCCCACATTCGCATCTCCATCAATCAGTATGCATTTAGTTAGGATCTATCTAGGGAACAGATACTATGGACACTCATGGCCCTTCCTCACAAGACACAGTAATCACAGTAACTGGCCAAACAGAGTTTTCATCATTATATGAAGAGTTCCGCACACTCCCTCCACAAACTTCCCGCTTTCAATCTTCTAAATAAGCCTAAAAACAAAGCCCCCACAAAAGCCCTTTAAAATATTACTTCTACTTTGAAACAAATACACTAAACTTTTGAATGGAGCAATGCAACTTAAAAAGCTGATAGTTAATTTGATGTCTGTGCCAAATTAAGCAAAATTAAAGTTATCTTCCAAATCTAACTACACTCTGGGGTAATACAGCTTGACCGTTAAGGTTCCAGGTGAATTTCTAACTGGATTCTCACTTTTCAATGCCATGGGAACTCAGGAAGCGTAAAGAACACCGGGAACGTACGCGCGGCAGCGGCGGTAAAGTTCACCTGGGCAGTCCTGCGCGCTGGAGAGAACACTCCTTCAGAAAGGTTAAGGGGCTCGTCCTCGGTCACAGACAGTGGTCAGTTAGGTACCAAAACTCGGTCCTGGGGCCCTCACTTCCCTACTCCTGCCTCCATCTCTTGACATACGCTCCTATTCAAAAGCTTGACTTTTTTTTCTAGTTGACTAGCTCTAGGAACGCCAGGCGGGAAAACGAAAGCTTAGGCCCGCGTCGCGGCCGCGGTAGCAGCGCCTTCTCTGCAGCGCCCACGGATCCGCAACCCTCGCCGACACCAACGCGACAAAAATGAACAGCAGAGACAAAGACGCAGGGAGCGGCCGGTGCGGAGCGCGAGCAGAAGGCGGGGGGCAGAGCGGAGCCAAAATGAAGGCAGCGAAGCAAGTGACGGGAGGGCTCAGCGGCGGCGGACGCCAAGGGGCTGCGGGGCGGCGGGGCGGCAGCAGCTCGGGGTTCACGCTCGGGGATGCGCGGGGCGGAGGGCGACGCCACCAACCGGCGGCGCCGGCCCGCGCGACGCAAGAAGCCGCGGACCGCTGGCACCAGCGCTCCACTAACTCACCACAGGGAGCTCCGTAATGGCGGCGGCAGAGGCGAAGAGCCCGGGAGGCGGGCCCGCCGCAGCCAGTCACTGCCACCGGCATCTCTCGAACCGGCTACGAAAACCGCTGAGGGAGTGGGGAATAATGGGGAGGGCGGGCGCCGCGCGCCAGGCCCGCCGCAGACCTCAGAGCATGCGCAAATCCTCAGCCAATAGAGGCGCGGTGGGCGGACACTGGCGCAGGCGCGCTGGGAAGGGAGGCCCTGGACCAGGAAAGCGCTCTTCCCGCTCCCCCCACCCCAGTCCAAACAAAACAAGGGCGGGAGCGTGCGCGTGGGCCCCAGAGGAAGCGTCAACCAGAGGGGCAGGGGGCTTAGACGCAGAGGGGAGGGGAAGGAGGGGGCGGAGCGGCCGGGGAGGCAGACAAAAGGCACCACCTCCGGGGACCCCAGCGCCCCGCCCCCTTTTCTGGAGAAGTGGCGTCGGTGCCGGAGTGAGCGGCCTCTGCCCACTCGCCTTCGGGGTCTAGCGAGCCCGTGCCCACTTCCCGCCCGCCAGTTCCGTCCTCTGTTACCTCTGCGCTTCCCCTTTCCTAGTGCCCGCGTCCGGTACGGCCTCTCCGCGCCACTCCCGCTGCTACTCGTTTCCTCCGCCGATGCTGTCCTCCAGGCCCAGCCGCCGAGCTCTGCCGCCCCGCCCCCCTGTCCGCGGCCCCGTGCGCGCGCTCCCGCTCCGGCCCCGCCCCCCTCCGTGTGCCGGCGGCCGCGGCCCCAGCTCGCGGGAGTGGAGGGGACGCGGAGACGTGCCTTCCCGACTCTGTGCGCGGGGGCGCGAGGGGGCGCTCCGGCACCCAAGGCTGCGCGCACGCGGGCTGTGCGTCCACGCATATTTCAGCCTGCACTGCGCTGGTGGCGCGGGTCAGCCCGGGCGGTACGATGTCGTTTTCCTCAGAAGCGCACGCTTCACTCTTCACCCGTTCTCTACTTTCTAGATCGGTCTCAGGTCTTAACCGGGTTTCCGCTGTGGCGATCCGTCTGCCCTTAGAGTGGTGGGCATTTCCCGCTTCTCAGTTTAGCCACAGCACAAGAACAAACTGCAGAACCCAACTTTGAAGACCGTGGGAGAATTGGAGAACCGAATAGCGGAGCATTCATGATCTCACATTCGTTGTCATTAAATAGGCAGACAGTACAGGGCAGACTAGTAACTCAGGAAAGAACTGCAGGAGTTGCTTTTCTAAGTCTATGAAGCGATCATACTTGACTCCCTAATTAGCCTACACAAGCAGAGGTCTCAAAAAGGAACGTCGGGGATTAGAAAAGCAGGAATTGACTTGGAATTGTCATATTACGTTGGTATCCGCGTACCTAAACGATATACACACGGATGAAAATGTAACTTTTCAAAGCCGGTTTGGTAAAATTCGATGTATTTAATGTAGCAGGTGGTTCCGGGAGGGGTAGGGGTAGAGGAGATGCTGGTGATGAATATGGGGAAATAATAAACACTGGAACTGCCCGAGGCTCGACAGCGGTGTTATCAAAAAATCAAATGCACGTGCAAATCATTCTAACGCTTAGGAAATTATTTAAGCACTGGCGAGCCCACTCCTCAGTCTCTGCGGCTAACACTTGCCCACCGCCAGCTTTCCCAGCCATAGCTGTCCACTCCATCAGCCCCAAACTTCGGATGTGTAAAAAATTTCACCACCACCAAAAATTCCTTATGAGATGAGCGTTGTCGTTAACATCCTGATACCATAGTCAATCTGTTCACTAGGGGTTTTGGTCATTTTCGCCATTTCGTCATCCTGCTCACTTCCTTGTACTTTATCAACACTTCTATCCTTTGTCTCCCTTTTCAAAGACCCTTTTCATTTTTATGTATTCATATGCTTAAAACATCCGTTCTTTTTCCCTAAAATGGCTTTAATCCCATCTCATTCAACAAACTATCCAACTGCCCTGACCGGTGTGCCTTAGTTGGTTGGTTAGGGGTCATCCAGCCAGGTGAAGGGTCACCAGTTCATTCTGGTCGGGGCACATGCCTGTGGCACCCGTGTTTCTCACAACGTTTCTCTCCCTTTCTCCTTCTCTTCCCGTGACTCTAAAAATAAATAAAATATTTAAAAAACTACCCAATTAGAATTTTCCTTCCTGCAGATTTTTGCTTAAATTCACACAATTTATTTTGTTGTTCACAACATGTACATCCAAGAAAGGAAAACCCTGAAACAAAATTCTTTCTCAAGAGTGCATGTAATGCATGCACACACACGCGACCATGCATGAAGCCTACCACTTGATGAATTTTGAAGCTGTGTTTTTTAGCTTTAAAGGGGCTTAAGATTTTTGTTGTGTAAGTTTTTTGGTTGAGGTATTTTACTTCTGCTAAATACAATGGGCCGTTTTTGTTTCCATATTTGGCTGCATCTGAGTTAAGACTCCATGAGGGTATAGTTTTAGTTGACCTCATTCGGTCTTTGAGCTAAACTGGTAAAAATATTCAATTGTGTTTGGTAAATAATTACATGATAATTTTTGCACCCTTTACTTAAACCGTTAGGCTGTTTGACCTGCACTGCAAGATGTGCACTTTGACGGGTTTAGGGCCTGGTCAACTCTTAACCCGTGTATGGAGGTTACTACCATCAGAGCACGGGAAAGATTCTTTTGCTCAGAGACCTCTCACACTGACATCCAAGTCCCTTAAGCTCCACCACCATTCAGAGATCCATTCCTTGGGTTTAAGCTTCAGTCTCTTCTACAGCAGTTTTAAAGTGCTAATACTAAGGAGAGCTAACATAAAGCCTCAAACTGACCACTGAGAATGCATTGTTTTAGTCTCAAGACTTGAGGATCTAAAGCTTTCCATTCCACAGTAAAGAATCAGAAGAAGAAAAATTCTGGGTGTCTGACTAGAGGAGCTTGTAGGATAGAGAAGAGTACATGGCTTCACAATTCTGCCCAGGATTACAGGAGTGACTTGGGAGTCCCACAATCATGAGGAAATACAGTTTGTGAGCTAGAAAAGCAAGTGTTAAAAGTCCCCATAAAGCAATTGTTATCACCTCTAGTTTTTAACAAACACACTTTTTCAGATGCCAAGTTCCTGGTGAAACTTTACTATACAGTAAGCTTTGCAGACGTCACTGCCTTTTGTCAGTACAATAGTTTTTTCCCCCCTCTATTGCACAAACTTAAAGCTAAATGATATTTAAGTCTGTTAGGGCTAAAAGGTCTTCTTTTGTATAGAAAAGCAAAATAGGTGACTTTGGAATTTTAGGCTTAAGGGTAGAGGGAGTTGAAGCAATTGCAGATTCCACAAGTGTTCCCAACCAAAGCAATGGCACTGCAGTCACAGGGCTGAGCATTTATCTGCTCATTTATCCACTCCCATTCCGCCTCATATTAAAAAGAAGTTTGAAGAATAATTCTTGAGTGCCTGATGAAAAAGTTTCTGTTGCTAGCAAGGCTGATCTTTATTCTGCCCATAAATCCAGGCTGTGGAACTGTGATTTCATGCAGAAGGAACCCAAAGCTAGGCCAAGGCTTGGATCCCTTAAGAATGTATGGTGCTGGCAGGGTTGGAGGTCATTTGACTTTCCTGGTTTCCAGCCAGAAAGATGGGGAACAGCTCTCAATGCAGCTGCAGCTTGGAAAGGGATAGCAAGAAAATGAACAATTTACACCATCAGGGGAAAAATGGAGGCCGATGAAAAGATTTAATGTTATTCTTCCACCACCACCCCATCAAAGTTCTTCATCTTACTTGTTACCTGAGGCCAAGACCCTGGTTTACAGATAAGCAACACCCCTGGATTCCTCTCTGCCAATGGTGCACTTTGCTCTACTCGCTGGTGGCAGTAAGAGTACTCCATTCAGCTCAGCAGTCACCGAAAACTTTTTCCTAAATTCTGAAACATCTTGACTCTGAAACATGTCTGGTCCCAGTGGTTTTGGAGAAAGGATTGTGGACCAGTATTTAAAAGCCAAATAAGTTTTATAAAATAGCATTTACCTTCATATGTTCTATTCTAGTTTTTTAAAAAATGGTGGTTGCAACCCATTGATTTTGCCATTCACTGTTTGAGAACCCCTGCCCTTGATGTCCTTAGCTGTTTGGTGTTCTTCTGGAGCCAACATTTCTGGCTGCCTGAGGGGGTCTGAAAAATGTTAGTGCCCAGGCTTCACTGTCATTTCGAGGACAGTGAAGAACAGCAGCTGTCCTTTAGTTTGAAACATCTGATGCATTGGATGGAGTTACAATTCAGCCCCTCAAGGGAACGAAAATGTTTTCGAATGTCATTACAGGCGTCTTTCAGTGGAGAACACAATCTAGAACCAAGGAAACTAAGGTACTTAGCCCCGCCATCTCCAGGGAAAACAACACGATCAGCCGTCAAGCCTGCTTCCATGTCAGGTTCTGGGAATTGTACGTATTGAACCATTTTTTCCCCTTTCTAAACACCAAAGGCAAGACAACTGCATTTTACTTTATTTTTTCAACTGCTAATTTCTCATCTCACTCCAGACCTAATTTATTGAATTAAAATCTCAGGGGCTGGGGTCCAGGAATCTGTGTTTTTAATTAAGCTGCACTAAAGGTTTTGCAAACTGAATTATGATCAACAGAACTAGGGAATTATTTTAACAACGCTCACAAGGACGGAGCAAACTTGAAGACTGCATTTTAGACAGATTAAAACTCTATTTGCCCAATTACTAAAAAGCAAAACATTCAGTTTTGTTTTGACTATGTAATATGAAGAAAATTTGCCAACGCTACTGTTCTCCCTTCATTCCTGCTTTGTGGCTTTAAGGGCAAATCTTATTTTCAGGAAGATGCCTGCAGGGCAACCAGGCCTGTGATGGTGGCCAGAGATGAGTGAGGGTCAGATCCGTGACACCATGGGTAAACCAACTGTCATGGTTTACCTAATGCAGGGACGTTGAAAGTTAGTGGGAGGCAGGACTTTCAATTTTTAAACCAGGAAAGTCCCAGCAGAATGAGTTGATCACCGTAAGACGTTTTTCCTTTGTGGTTATGGGTAAGTTTGAGAAAATTTCAAGTTTAAAGGGGAAGATTTCCACACACACCCCCGGCCCCCGATAAAACCTAGTAATTTAAAGGAACACAGGAGTCAAATCTATGACTGAAAA